GCCCAGCAAGTGAGCAAGCTTCATTTGAAATTCCCTCCATTTGACAACCATCACCCAGAATCACATACCTGTGGCAATCAAATGTAATTAGTAAAATGCGAAACGAAGAAGGCATTACACGTTCAAAGATCATAATAAAAGTGGTGACTTAGAGCTCGTGGGAGATAAGGCGTGGGCATCTCACGTGTAATGGTCAACAATCTCATTATCGGGTTTGTTGAATCGGGCAGCCAAGTGCTTCTCTGCAAGGGCCAATCCCACAGCATTGGCAATGCCCTGGCCAAGAGGACCTAAATAAAATAAGGGGAAAAAAAATGAGAGAACAGAACAAACAAAGAATGCAAGAAAAGGTCACAAATTCATACAAACAAGGGAGATATCCGACCTGTTGTTACTTCGACTCCAAGTGTCTCAAAGTTCTCAGGGTGTCCAGGAGTTCTGCTTCCCCATTGGCGAAATTCCCTCAAGTCTTCTTCCTAGATTTGATGAGAACACCATGAATTTAGTTTGATGAATATCTTATGGTTTATGTGCTCACAATCACAATTTCATGAATGATCCTGCGAACTTTGTTCGGGTGTATGTTTGTGCGACCAATAACAGACTAAAACAAAACGTCTCCAACAAAAGAAGCTATAAAATCATTTCACAAATTAATGCAAATGAATTAACAGAAATGCAGCGGAAACAATATACAGGTTCGCAACTGTACGAAGACTGTTTGCTATCCATTATACCAACCCTTTACCCGCTAATTCCGAGAAACCATTTCCTCATCAGATAGGTTAAACACAGATAGATTTTCAACTCAGACACATTTAAATTAATTGAAAAACTCATAGATCCAAGTCCAAAGAAGCTCCACCAAACACCATGGCGAATGAAGCTCACCTTAACACTATCATATCCAGCGAGATGAAGCAAAGCGTACTGGAGCATGCAGCCATGGCCAGCAGACAAAACAAACCTGTCACGGTTGAACCACCGCGGGTTCTTGGGATTATACCTCATCACCTCGTCGTAGAGAATGTGACCCATCGGAGCACAACCCATGGGCAGACCCGGGTGACCCGAGTTGGCCTTCTCGACGGCATCAATGGACAGGAACCGAATAGTATTAATCGATTTCTCAACCAAGGACGCCTCAGTGGTCTTATCCAAAGTCTCAACAGCCGTAGCACGGACTACACTGCCAGACCCAACCCCACGACGACGCGAAACGGAGGCCGGCTTGGTGGAGGAAGAATTGGAAGAATGTGACTTGAGACCAGAGAAGGCAGGCAAGGAGACGCCGGAGAGAGAGATACGGTCAGAAGAAGAGTTGAAGGAGTGAAGAGAAATGGCTCGGGCCAAAAGGGCCTGGGAGAGATGCATGGAAGAAGAGGAAGCCATGGATGGAGAGAGCCCCGAGAGAAGAGAAGAGAAGAAATGGGGATGCAGAATCGGAGCTTTCCAGTGAGGGAAGAATTTAGAGAGCAAAAAGGTTTGACTGAACAGTCCGAGAAGGGGCAGGTCCGCAGGTGGAGGAGCGAACTGATGCTTAGATTAAAGCAACGAACAATCTCCACCTATGCTTTTGGGTAGGTGCTTCTCTACCTCTCAATCTTTTTCCCTTCGTTTTGATAACAAACGCAATACATATTTATCTTTCATTCTGGATAATTGTGGCCTTTGGTATATATTTATATTATATTGGCCTTGGACATTTGGACATTGGTGAGGGAAGCACTCTCTAATACTTAAGAGTTTGGTAATATCATATTAGTAAAAATTAATTCTTTTTAATTATTAAGATCTCATATACTTTCTTTATGAATCCTTTGAATGTTTGGTAAAATCGGTGGTACTGCCGCATTGCTCTTGTACGTGGCTTATGATGATTATTGAAATAATTTTTTATTCTTGTTTACTTCTCTTGATTTGCATTTTCCTTTTGTCCCCCTATATAAATGTTAGTTCCAAATTTTAAAATATAATTATTACTTTTTTTTCAATAATACACTTGTTAGATCAAGGGCGTTAAATGAGGATAGTTAAGATTTAAAATAGAAGGAAAATTGAAAAAGAAAATTCTTACATTATATATAGGTTTTGTTTTCTTCTTGGTTTGTGTGTGTTTTTTCTACTAGGACAAGTATCTAGAATGGAAGAAGTGTTTAATTAAATCCCACTAATATATATATATATATATATATATGTATGTATGTATGTATGTATGTATGTATGTATGTATGTTTAATGTTATGTTAAAATTTTAAGCTAAAAACAAGATAAGTATATAAATTTGATAGAGAAATATTTATTCTTATAATATCATATGATAGATCATTGAAAATTTTCGCATAGTGAAGTTGAGTTTAGCAAAAGGGATATATATAATTAGAAATGAAAAATAGAAAATGAGAGAAGGCCATGTTGAGAGTGAGATTTGGTTGAGATGGGCTGTTGGAGAATGAATATACTAGAGTTTATCCTCTTTGAGTTCAGATAAGGGGGTCAAATACTTGTCGCCACCAACCCACCACAAATTCTACACCTTAGCCTTTGAGTGGCGCCCATATTTTGTCAGGGTCACGCCCATCAAAATTAATTCAATTCATTTTATGTCTTTTTCTTGGCATCATCCTCTCCAACTGCAACTCAGTGAAATAACATGCAAGGTAAGGCAACGACGATAAACACTTTCTGAATTTTTGTTTTAAACTTGAAAATAGTGATGGCTAGTGAGATGGCAGATTTGTCCCCAAAAAAAAGTAATTTTTAACTGAGACCGCATGATTATCATTGTTAATAATATTGAATACTGGTGGGTTTTGTCTCACAATACAAAAAATAAAATCACAAAAACAACAAACCTCATGTTACCAGAAGAAGCGTAGGACTTCTGGACTTGGCTCTGATGATCATGTGCTTATGACGCGTTTGATAACATATTAGAAAACCATAACAAATTAAACGCGTCATTGATGGCTTGGGCCAAGATTATGATCCTAGTTTCCACGTACAGTGACCCTGCCGTGTTAAATTAGCAAAATCTTTCATATGCTAATGAAAAGCCTTTGGACCTACGAAGGGGCGTATGTGCATAAACTCGATGGAGAGTCACCGTACCATTCTGATTGCAAGGACACGGATTATTTTTGACTTTTTATTTTTTATAGTTAAGATCTCAGAACATCATAATCATTTTATTTTATTTTTTAATGAAAGCCAGGGTCGCCCCACTTCCCATTTATCATGTTTCTTACTCTGACGGTTTGACGTTCTTCAACTGTCAGAGCCATTGCCTAATTTTAGGCCTGTTTTCATTTATTTTTATTAATTAAGTTAAATTGTGAAAATATCTTAAACATTTTTTTAAAGGATGTCTGGCATCTTTCAGAAAATTTTTGAAGCATTTTTATTCTAAAAATTTCAAAAACACAGCATTTTTACCTCAGTATCAAATATAAAAAATATTAACCATTAATAGAAGTTTAATCAAAATATTTTATGAATGTGCCCTCCTTTATTTCTACAATTTTCATTTTTTGTTTTTATTTATTGAAAGAAAAAAAGTTAAAAAAATTTACTGACAAGTGAAATCAAAGACTAAATAAATTAGGAATGAGGAAAAAAATATAAAAATATCCTTAGTTAAACTTTAATTTAATAATTAATGTTTTCAATTTTTAATGGTGAGGTGAAAATGCTCTATTTTTGAAACTTTTGAAGTAAAAATAATTCAAAAAAAGTTTAAAATATCAGGTACCTCTAAAAAAAATTTAGGATATTTTTTCCCTTTAACCTTTAATGATTTAATATTTTAAATAACTTGTTTGGATAATACTTAGTATAAATAAAGTGTCCAAATTCCATCCGATAAATTAATGAGTAAAAATAATTCACTTTCGGTTATGCAGAAAATTTTTGTATGCTCGAAACCTCGGATCGTATTTGCTCTCTACTCTCTTATTACTTGGATTTAAATATCTGAAATTGGGATTGGTGTGTTGGTAGGAAAAAAAAAAGGATTTAGCGAATTTTTGTAAAGTTTTCTTTTATTTATTTTTTATGATTCTGTTCATTTATTATTTTTTATAAAATAAATTTTTTTCCATCCATAAAAGCAAAAACTTCACATAAATTCATGGATTTCAATTTTGAGATTATTTAATTCCCTCTCACACTCCCAATAAAATTTTACATATTTGCTTTTTGAAGGAGTTTTTTTCAAAAGATCAATAAAGTAAAATTTGGGCCCCCAGATCACCTCTGACACCAACCAGATCATCAAGATGGCCCACCACCAGTGGCCCAATTCAAACAACTTCAAGCCCATTCGTGAAGCGCTCCAGCTCCCTCACAACCAGATCATCAAGACGGCCCACCACCAGTGGCCCAATTCAAACAACTTCAAGCCCATTCGTGAAGCGCTCCAGCTACCTCACTCCCCTCTGAGCCTCACCTTCCTAACATGATTTCCCCCCAATTTGCCAGCTTCGAAGCCTCGTTCTTTGAGAATTAACTTGGCATGCGTTCTTTCAAACTCTGTAAGCGAAAATATGATTTACTTTAAAGTCCTTTTAAGAAGGAAAATATATTACTTGTTAATGGTCCAGTTTCTATGCTCATCCCATGAGCTCATCCTTAAGTTAAAATGTGAATGATTCATATTTTAACTTTAGATAGTACAAATTTAATATATTATTATATATTATATTTATTAAAATAAATATTTATAAAAATTATAAAGTAATTTTAACAAATTTTTTATTTTTAACCTGATGTAAATTTAATTTAATGAATTTAATTTAATATTAAAATTTTTATAATAAATATATATATTAATTATTTAAACGTATCCTACACAATTCTAAACTGTACAAAATAAATATGAATAATCAATATGCATCAATTAAATGGTGCATATGCAAGGCAGAAGGCACATAATATAAGGCAGCAAAACACATGGTTCACAAGCATGACACTTATTTATGCCAAAACACGCTGATAACATATTAATTTGAGACGCATTCTTTTAATTCTGGAAGCGAAAATATGATTTACATAAAGTATTTTCAAGGAAAGAAATTATATTACTCGGCAATACATGACAAAGATATACAAAGCAGCAAAATACATGGTCCCAACTCACAAGCACGATGATTCGCTTGTTTATTTATGCCAAAACAAACAGAGAGATAGCTTAGATTGAACTAACAGAAGCGTCTTGAGATTCAGCGGAAGCAACACCGCCCATAATTAACCCTGAGGCTCCATTGACAGCATTACATTGGGTTCGGATTTCACCCTGGGTTCCGGTCAAAGGGTTGATATTACCCATCTTGATCATGGACGCTGCAAAAGCTTCAAAGAAAGCTGTCTGGTTCGCGCTGAAATTGTTGACGATGGCGATGGTATCAGCACCAGAAGTGGAAAACAGGACCTGGTCGCTGTTAAGGAGGCCATTGCCTTGCTGAAGGTTGGTGTAATAGTTACTGTCAAAGACATCGGGTGTGGTCAGGTCCAGATTTGTGAGGTTACTGTTCGTCCCTACTCCGCTCTGTGGGCATATCTGACGCAATGTCGCCAAGTAGGTTGTGTTAAGTCTCGAGTCCGGGTTGCCGTCGCCGCTAAAATTGTAAAGCCGGTTATCAAAGAACCTGCACTGAGATCTTCCAAACGTGTGAGCACCTGAAAGATATCGATGTTAGAAGGAGATAACTGATGAGCGAGAAAGGTCATGGGGAGTTAACATTTATGAAGTGATATAGCAGTACCAGAGAGGGCAACAAGATCAGTAATGTTGAGGCCTTGAGCAGAGAAGTTTAGCTTCAGGGAGTCCAAGCTGAAGAAAGGCGAAGGAAGGTTAGCATTAGCGAGGCTTAGGTTTGCTGTGAGGCTATCTCTTCTTCCCAACTGAACTGTCCATGACTGCCCTCCTGCCTGTTCAAATTAATTTACCAATATCGGACCGAAGAATTCATGGCTTGAAGCTAAGCTGCTAACTGTAACTTTTAAAAATTATATATAAATTAATGGAATTCAGTTAAAGAAGAGATATACTATGACGACAGAAACTTGAGCAGCAATGGCAAGGATGTCAGCGCAAGAAACAGTGTTGGGGCAAGCGGATTCAAGGGCGGACTTGATGTTATTGACAACGTCCAGTCCTCTGATAGAGTTGTTATTGCCAAAAGCTTGCTGTTCGCTGACAATGGTGGCACTGTCGTTCAGCAGGAGCGAAGCATCACATCCCTGTCAGTCAAGTGACGAATAAATGCATTCTTGTCAATAATGTTGATATTCGTCAGCAACTTCCTGGATCTGTCCTCATGTCTCCAACATTAACAAAACATATTACGAAACTACTAATGGCTTTTCCTTTTTACCTGTCCTTTTATTCCATACTCTGCAGTCTTAAAAGTGAAGCCTGTACCTACCACTAGTTAGATTGGGTGACACTGATTAATTAATGCCCTTTAAGTAAATTATTCATCCGGGCCAATCGGCCAATTTAAACAACGCCTTCCAGAACAACTTACTTTTTAGCTTTTTATTTGAATCACTTGACTTAATTTGGATCCGAATTATTCCAAAATATTAAATATTTTTTATAAAAAGGCAAAGTATAATTTTTAATACTTTTCTAGTCTATTTAAAAGTTGCTTCTTGTATTTTAATTTCATCACGAGAAATGTGGAAAGTTTTAAATTTTATTAATTTTGTCTATTTTGGCAAATCTTTAACTCTACTCATATTAAATATACTTATTTAATAATTAATAATTTTTTAACATTTAATAAAAATAAAAGGATAAATATAAACACAATAATAATTGAAATATTATGTGAACAAGACCAAAATAAATATTCCATTCATTAAAAAATGTAAGTATTTTTTGAGGAAAAAATATAAAATATTTTTAATCTTTTAAGGTGTAATCATTTTTTAAAGTGCCCTTTATATTTATTATAAGGTATTTAATATAAGGTATTTAATAGAGATAAATATAAAAATATATAGTTAACTTAAAAATAAATAATTATTTTATTAAAAAATAAAATTTAATTAAAAATATTTTATATTTCAAAACGGAGTGAGTAAGTATGCTCCAGGCCTTTGCTGCTAAAACTGCTAAAATTTTCTCCACACGCCAATGCCACTTTCTTTTTCCACAAGATCCAAGGGTACGAAACTACGAATGTGTCCGGTGCAATTAAAGGAAAAATTATACTTCGGCTAAAATTTCGAGAGTGTGAAGGGCTGAAGTGAATAATCTTTTATTTAGTTTGTGAAAAAAAAATAGGGATAAAAGAGAGAACTGAGTGGCCAACACAGATAATATAATTTAAGAGTTTTGTAATACAAACTGAGTGAATCAATAGTCTACACGACTTGTGAGAAAGTGCAACTTGCTATAAATTTTATATCTATATCTAGTATAAATATATCAATTAAAAATTAATTATATCGCGTGTAATTTTGCCACGCGTAAAATTTTATGTTTATAATTAATGATAATCTAATAAAGTACAGCAGATATAACTAACCGCACCAAATATATAAAATAAACTATAGTTACATCCCGTATGTTTGTTTGCTATTATCTGCTTGATTCTAGAAGCTAGTCAGCGAATATTTTTAACTAAATTTTATTTTTTAATAAAATAATTATATATTTTTAAATTAACTTTATTTTTTTATATTTATTTTTATCAAATACTATATAATAAATATAAAGTTATTGTAGCATTTTTAAAAAATAATGATTACATGAAAAACTAAAAATAACTTTTATTTTTTAATATCTAACTTCTTAAAAAATATCTTATATTTATTTTCAAAGAGAGGGAGTAGAAGTTTAACAGCTTATATAAGATTTAGCTCACGAACGATATTTCGATTTTAAGCTGTTCTAGTAATTCTGGAACATACATACATACATACATACATAGCTTTGTGCATCCTCTTTCCCTCCCGTACTCCTCCCCAGCAGAACTTCGCAAGAAGTTCATAATAATTAAGACTACTTGTAAAACCAAAAGCTGAGTTGAACAAAACAAGAGCGTGTGTAAGATTAGTTTACTTAGAAAGTAGACCTATTTTGTGGAACTTGAAGGAGAGAATACAGACATAGAGTCCGTAGGTACATGTTTCAACTCACCTCACATGCCTGTGTTTCACTCACTCAAAAACCAGAACCCAGAAATTTGAAACTGAGATAAAATAATTGGAGTGACATGAACATACAATAGAGAATGAGGGAAAGAACATGTATATATAGGAGAAATGAAGGACGTACTTGAACAAAGCAGTCATGGAAGTGAAGCCTGATGAGACTTGCTCCGATGCGGGGATCGCTCTGCGAAGCATTCTGGATAACCCCAGACACGATGTCCGTGACGTTGGGGCATGTTTGGTTGTAGAATGTTGGACTCAGCTGCGCATAAGTCACAGATATTGCTGCCAGAACCACAAATATGAAACTCCAAACAGCTCCCATTCTCACACCCACAAAACCCATTCTTATCTTGCTTGTCTCCCCGTGTATGAATGTCCCAGGGCTGTCTTCTGATCCTCACCAGTGGGTCTCCATTTATAGGCTGACAAACTGGGGTTACAGTGCCAAATGATGGTGAATAATAAATTAAGTCGTTCTCATTTGTTAATGTACGTACAGAAAATAAATAATTTAATAATTAAAGCCTGAATTAGTGTGCGGTCCCAAACGAAAAAGCCCTGCTTTTAATTTTCGCCAAATGAAAAAGATAAGTGCATTGCAAGTTGTTGATTGATTGAGACAACGGGGCTCGAGAATTCTTTGCAAGTGACTTTTCCTTTGCCAAGGGTATGCTGGATAATAGCTATACAGTGACCGTCTTGGATTTTAAGTAATTAACGTATGATGTATTGCTGATTCCACTTCAGTGTGGTGAGATAATACGGCAACTAAAGTGGAAGACCGACATGTTTTGTATAACATGGGCGTGGTCGAAGAGACAAATTGAGAGTAAATTAAAAAGTTTTGAGGCGTCCCTAAAAGTAATTCATGCCTAGAGCTGGCAACGATATGCTGTAATTATCTAATCTTGCTTTAGAATGAGCGACCCTACGCTGGAAGTAGTTTCTTTACTCATCTCAAAAATAAACACCGTGTACTCATCTTTAATATGAGATTTGGACTATTTAAATTTTTATTTGAATGGTTCAAATTTTAAATAATATTATGTAATTTTATATTATATTTATTAAAATAAAAAATTATAAAAAATATTGATTTAATTTAAAAGGTTTAGTTTAATATTAAAATTTTTATGAATGATGTATATTGATTATCCAGGTATATTTTGCACAGTTCAGATAAAATTATAAATTATCTGGACCATATTAAAATTATTTTATAAATTTTTATTTTAATAAATATACTATAAAATTATTTTTAAAATTTAAACCATTGAAATTAAAATTTAAATGGTGCAAATTTTATTTTAAAGATGAGCACATGGGATGGGATGAGCGTGAAAACTGAATCCCTGCTCTCACGTTCTCACCACACTAAAGTTGAATTGGTGAATACATCATGCATTCATTACTTAAATTCCAAGACGGTGGCTATTATTCAGCACACCAAGAAGGAAAAGTGACGTGCATGCATTATTCCCAGAAAATTCTAAAGTCTCATTGCATCAATCAACTATTAGAAAATGATGACTTGGCACTGTAACCCCACTTTAATTTGTCATCCCATAAATAAAGGCCGTTTATAATAATTAAGGATCAGAAAACACAGCCTAGGCCCTAGGGATATCCATACATGGAGAGATAAGAGAAGGAGGGAGTCGGCTTCGCCCCTCCCACTCTTCATTCCTCCGCAGCTATTCCTATTTACGGAAGAACTTTTGAATGGTTTGAATTTAATATTTTTATTTTTATTTTTATTTTATATTTATTAAAATAAGATATTTATGAAAGTTATAAAAAAAATTAATCAATCTGCTTAATAATCTGAATAGTTTACATTTGTATTGAAAAAAAAAATTAATAAATTTATTTATTATCAACATAGATAATACAAATTTACTTTCAACAGTTTAATTAAACATTAAAAATTTTATATTTTTTATAAATTGATCATTCATATGTATTATGAATAGTGCAGATTTAATTATTAAATTTTTTATAAGTTTTTATTTTTCTAATACAAATGTAACCTACCCAGGTTGGTAATTAGATTTAATAAAATTTTTTATAACTTACATAAATATTTTATTTTAATAAATATAAAATAAAAATAAAAATTAAAACATTAAATCCGAACCATCCAAATTAGTTTGGAGGTCCAGATCTCCTTCCAGGAGCTGCAGAGGAGCGAAGGTTAGAGGAGCAAAGCCACTCCGAGAAGAAGGGGTTTTTTTGAAAATGACCATGGTTTTTCATTAAAATTTCTATAATTTGGGGTTTGAAATTGTAATTTCCATCTTCTTGATCCTGTTTTAATTAGTTTTCCCAGGTAACGTGAAAACGACGACATGAGATTGTGGTGAGAACGAGAGCGCGCGTGCCGTCTTGAAGAGTCAAATAGATTTGGGTTGGAGTGAGGGCCCACAATCAGAGCCATTCCTCACAAGCATCGAACTAATATTAATTAATATCGAATTTTATCACCTGGGATTTAACCATAATGAGGCTAAATCAGAAGTAACCATGCCAACATGATTTTTTGCATGCATGATGCATCATCCTTATACAAGCATCGAACTAATATTTTCTGCATCTTTTCAATTTTTTTTAATACCCATACCATTTCACCAATTTTATTTGATGTCCCTCGGAAGAATTAGTTTGGTCCCCAAAAAAAAAAAAAAAGGGAACAAGATGAACTATTAGCTTAATTGCTCAAGTTTAAAACAAATTTATGAGACTCAGGCCCTCAATTTTACTTAAGGGAAAAAAAAAAACAACGTTTTCCTTGTTCAATTACTATTAGTCTTTATATATGTTACCACCCAAAATTAGGTTTTTTTGGGTTGGCAAAAAAGTTTTAATTTAAAGTCATGTTATAACATATGAATGTCAAACTTGTTATTTATGACTTGAATTATTTTGATATAGATATGTTTAATTTAAAGTATTGTATTGTATTGTAATTACAACATCCTTTCCCGTCCTATTACACTGCATACTTCCTCTTCTCTTTGGGCACGAAGGACTTCGACCCAGAATTTCGTGAAAACCTACAACTACAAGCAAAGTTTCCCTTAGAAATTTCCTCTTCAATCAACCATAAGTCATTTCCCTATAAATATAGAAAATTATAACGCTATGAACTCTTTTAAAAAGTGTAAATAATTATTATATGAATTGTAATATATAAATAATATAAATTCACATGGTGATGGCAGGGTTAATTAAGTATACGGGTGGTTTTCAATTTACACCCAATAAAAATTTATTTAAAGGATTCAATGATTTATTAAATTTGATAAAAGTATATTTTCTATGTGATTTGAATATACTTTTAAAGTTATCTAAACAAATCCTAAAGCTCTTTTCTCATCCAAGACTTATCTACCTTCCAGTATTCTAACTTTTAATTTTATTTTAAAATATCTCTATTGTTTATTTTAAATTAATTTTTAAATAAATATTTTTAATGTTTTTATTTATTAAAAATAATAATTTATAAAAATTGTAGTAAATTTAATATTAAATCTTAGTTTGGCCATAAAAATCACATCTGAAAAAGTTGATATTAAATTCATATTATATGTTAAAAGTCCTAAGCATCGACTTGTTTATTCTTTTGGCAATTCTATTTCACCCTCTATCCTCAATCAACTCAACCACCCTCGACCCATGTCCAGCGAATTATCAACATCTTCACTTTTTGACTTTTTTGCCATAAGAATATTTTTTCATTAATGCGCTGCACTGGGTAGAAATTCAACGTATTCTGAATGAAACTCCTTTCAAGTTTCAACATACAATAAATATTGCAACGGAAGCTTCAAAATACGCGTACGTGTGATTAATCAAAGGTGCTTAGCATAGTGCTTCCTCCGTCCTGAATTAGGGAACCTTTTTTAAAGAATTTTCATCATAAAATATAAAAAAATTTAAATAAAATAAAGTTTTATTAAATATATTAATTTTAATATTATTATTTTTTATAATTAATTTTTATTCCTTCTCTTTTTAATATAATAAATAATAAATATTTTTAAAATTTTATATTTTTATTTTAAAAAGATAAAATTATTAAATATATTTAATAAGATTTATTAATATGTAAAATTTTATTTAAAAATATTTTATAATTTCAAACGCACTATGATTTTGCCCGGAGTTTATGCATTAAATATTACTGCATGCGCCTCTAATTAATTAAGTCTAAAAATTTCCAATCAGACATGAAGCAAGTGTAAAACACTGGACTCAGCTGACCAAGCGTGTCGTCACTGATTATCCTGCAAGCCACTGTGACCTTACCATGGCTTCTGGCCTTCTGCTCAGGCCCTGTATCTGTGTCTTCTTTTCGTATTGCTTGTTCATGACATGGTCTTATTCGTTGATATTAAAAGCATTACCATTAGTTCGGTCTGCATTTAATTTCCCGGGCCATTAGTTTATCAATATTTAATTATTAGTCCTACCAAATACCAGTGTTTTTCTTCTTCTACCTTTGAATATGATAAAACCAATTAGATGTCTTGTCCTTATTGGAGCATCTTGTCTGAGTCATCTTCTCTCTCTCGCTCGCTCCCACCAAAGGCTTATCCTTATCGGAGCATCTCTCTCTTTTTTTAAATATACAAGGGCTGGATCCAAGTCATGAGGCAGAAGGAGGGTTGGGGGGAATCAAACTAGATCGGATTAGAATTCAGAAAACTCGTGCATCTGAGAGATGGATCATGTAAAATCGTCATATAGAACATCTCAAGATTAACATGGTCAATGAATTATTAGTCAGCGCAATTTTTAATTTCTTTGACGAACATATGATTAAAAAGTGACTGCTGCCCAATCCTGTATTGATAAATCTCTCTCTCTCTTGTTTTTTTTTTTTTTTGTGATGAAACTATAAAGAGCGTGACTCAAAGAGAACTACTGACTAATTAATTCTAAATGAGGCCATCAAACTAGCGGTCTCAGCTGGAATACAGTGTTGTGTAAAGAAAGACTTCGAAAACAAAAAACGCTCTCTACTGAATACGAGTTCGGCAATGATAAATTACGTTCTAATTCAGTTTGAATAGTTTTAAAAATTGAGATAAACGAGTCCTTCAACAATGTTAGATATATGTAATAAAATATGTACATTTTTAATTATTATTGATACGAATTCACGAATTCATCCGTGCTGAAATATATCTCCATACATACGTGTGTCTTTTATGAAGTTCAATTTTATATGGTTTAAATATTTTTAAAACAAGTCAAAGTCTACTTACACTTGCCATCTTGACACTCTATATTGTAATTATACTTTGCACTATATGTCTATACAAATGATAATTAATATTGAAAAAATATAAATTATTGCTCCATTTTTAAAAATTATTTCTAAATATACGTATAAAAGGTTTCTAAGAGATGACTTATGAAAAGGTTATGTTTATAAGGGAGCAGGCGATTGAATTTATTATTTCCGATGTATCTAAAAAAAAATTGAATTTAACGATGAGTAAATGAGTTGAAAGTTGCTGCGTGGTTATTGTGCCGAGAACAAAAGGAAAATTCTCCAAAAGCACTGCATAAAGATATGAACACAGATATGCTTTATTGTTTACTTGCACAAGAAATTTCATTTTCTTTTTCATATACAAATTATTGTAATTCAGTAGTTCGTTGAATGTGAGAAATATAATTAGATTGTGTATTAAGATCACAAGACCTGAGCTTTTGACTCCCACACGGCTGATGTTGGGCCTTCATTTGTCAATGCAGATCACGTTGGAAATATTGAGGAATCACAATTCGGTCCAAAAATTGATAACTATCGTTGATCGTGACTTGTTTTTTTTTTCTTTTTCATAAATGCATTGTACACCATTATGTCTGAAAAGGGTTCATGCGACCAAGTTTTGTTCGTATCACATCATTACCTTGGGACATTGTACATTAATTACATTTTATGCACCTTTTGTTTTATTTTTTTTCGGATTACTATAGTCCACATAAAACCAGTGCAAAAGAAAACAAATTAGGCCACATTATGTAGGTAGTACGTAATTCTCAACACTAAAGTGGTGGGTCTTTCAAAATCTTGATATCTGAACTTCAAGAAAAGCGTATTGAGTGAATTTCAGTCTAGACAATCATTAACCAGCTCATCGATTCACTTTCCCTTTTTGCCATTTGCTTATCTTGACAGCATTTTCTGTCATTTTTCGAAAATATTCTACTATAATTTTTGTCAAGTTCATTTTAAAATTTGAACCTCCATTTTCAAAGCCATGCTAAAATTTCAAATTGACAAAAAGGAGATTCAAACTTGGCGAGTATTGGTGTATATAATTCCACTGCTATTACATCAGCCTCTTGTGTTAAAATCTACTTCGCAACGGCAACAAATTTGAGAAATTTTCATTCACAGCTGGGACCTCGATCGTTTTCGGCAACCTGAACCTAACTATAGATCAGTAGTCCTCGATCAAATGCAATAACTTTCAAACTCTTTTCGTATGGTGCTGTTACATTACAACATCCAATTTCCTGTCAAAAAGCAAATTAAATTATCAGCATCATCTCCCACCTTATATAGCTTGTAAAAGATTAAAAACACACATACAGGTACACATGTCTCATCAGAAATACGGACTTTATTATGATATTATTATCAGCAGCATACTAATAAAATTATGAGAGAATGATAAATAAAGATCTTATAAGAATATTAATATTAAATTAAAAATTTTTAACACTGATATTCCCAAATTTTATTACCCCTTCTGCTATGTTTCAATATTAAATTTTTAATTTAGTATTAATGTTTTTATAAGCTCCTTCCTTGTCATTTTCCCTTATTATGACCACTTGTACCAAAGGACGTACAGCTACATGACCCACACAAGCGTATGAAGACGTGTGTGTGTGTGTGTGTGTGTGTGTGTGTGTGTGTGTGTGTGTGTGTGTGTGTGTGTATTATAAACGGACCCACGATCATGTTATTCAGATTGATCTAACAAGAGCACCATCACATTCGTCTTTGTGAGAGTGACAGCACTAAATCGAGAGGAATCTGTTATATACTTATATGCTTAATTAATTTATTGTTCACTTGCACATAAGATTTCATTTTCTTTTTTTAATACATTTTTTAAATCTAGTAATTCAACTGAATCAGAGAAATGTAAGATAATGTTGATTGAGATCACAATATATATATATATATATATCTGAGCTTTAGGCTCGCACGTTTTTGTTAGGCCTTGATTTGATGATACATAATACGGAAGAAAATATTGAGGAAGCACATGCCATGTGGTCCAAGATAGGAAGTCCACGTACGTCCACTATTGCTGATTGTGACTTGGTTTTCATCAATGCATTGTACCCAATCATGTCTGCGAAGGGTTCATGCGACCTTTGTTCATCTCATATTCGTTACCTTTGTGATTGACTCCAAGCATCACCTCTCCCCCTCATTTTCTGCAGAGCTTCACCTTCCTCTGACATTATTTTTTTCCCCTCGAGAATTAATTTGAGATGTATTCTTTTAATTCTGGAAGCTAAAACATGATTTACATAAAGTCTTTTCAAGGAAGAAAATATATTGCTCGCTGATACATGACACACACACACACACACGCAGCAGCAGCAGCAGAATATATACATGGTCACAAGTCACTAGCACGATGTTTCGCTTGTTTATTTATGCCAAAACAAACAGAGAGATAGCTTAGATTGAACTAACAGAAGCGTCTTGAGATTTAGCGGAAGCAACACCGCCCATAATTAACCCTGAGGCTCCATTGACAGCATTACATTGGGTTCGGATTTCACCCTGGGTGCCGGTCAAAGGGTTGATATTACCCATCTTGATCATGGACGCTGCAAAGGCTTCAAAGAAAGCTGTCTGGTTGGAGCTGAAATTGTTGACGATGGCGATGGTATCAGCACCAGAAGTGGAGAACAGGACCTGGTCACTGAAGAGCAAGCCGTTCTGGAGCTGCAAGTTGGAGTAATAGTTCTTGTCAAAGGTATCAGCCGTGGTCAGGTCGAGATTCGTGAGGTTAGTCCCTCCTGCGTTCTGTGGGCATATCTGTCGCAACGTGGCTAAGTATGTGGTGTTCAGCGTCGAGTCTGGGTTGCCGTCGCCGCTAAAATTGTAAAGCCGGTTAACAAAGGTACTGCACTGAGCTCTTCCAAATGTGTGAGCACCTGAAAATAAATGAGATATCTGAATTAGAAGGAACTGACGAGAAAGGTTGGAAGAGCAATTAATGAAGTGATAGTACGTAGTACCAGAGAGTGCAACAAGATCAGTGGCATTGAGGCCTTGAACAGAGAAGCGATCCTTGAGAGTTTCCAATGTTGAATTGGGGCCTGGAAGGTTAAGATTAGCTAGGGTCAAGTTTGCTGTCAGGCTATCCCTTCTTCCCAATTGAACTGTCCATGAGGGTCCTCCAGCCTGATTCACATTATTGCTCTCATCAAATTATAATTCACATGGCATGAAGAAGAGAGATATGTATCCGTGTAATATACCAGGACAACAGAAGATTGAGCAGCAATGGCAAGGATGTCAGCGCAAGAAACGGTATTGGGGCAAGAGGATTCAAGAGCGGACTTGATATTATTGACAACGTCCAGTCCTCTGATGGAGTTATTATTGCCAAGAGCTTGCTGTTCGCTTACTATGGTGGCACTATCGTTCAGCAAAAGCGAAGCATCACATCCCTGTCATCAGTCACGTCACAAATAAATGCATTCATGTCAATGTCGTCATTCATCAACTTCCTGAGTCCCCTCTCTAGTCTCAAAACATGTTACGAAAGTAATAGCTTATTCTTTTATCAGTCTCTCCCTTTATTCCGTACTCTATAAAGTGAATTGTTTATTCGATTTGAACAAAAACATCCAGAAGAACTTACTCCCTCCGTTTCTCTATATATATATATATATATATAAAATTATATCACACATAATTTAAAAAAATTAATTAATCATAATAATTATACCTGAAAATAAATAAATAAATTAAAATATTATATATTAATCAATATAATTATGTATTAATTATTTTTTATTAATGTAAATTATAAAGAATGATTTAACAATGTATAATAAATATTTATTAAAATGTGTAATTTTATTTATATAAAAAATAAGTAAAAATTGGTAATTTTTCATATAAACAAAAATGAAGAGAGTACTTTTTATAAGAATCACTTGATTTAATTTGGGTTCAAATTATTTAAAAATATTAAATATTTTTTTAAAAAAAGGCATGGTCCAACTTTCAATATGCTCCTAGCTTCTAAGCTTTCTCCACACGCCAATACCACTTTTTCCTTTTCCACAAGCTAAGGGTGCGAATGTTTCCGACTTTCCGGTGCTGTTAAAGGAAAAATTACACACTGGCGCATCTGAAACTAAAAATATTTATATTAAAATAATTTAAATTTTAAAATAAACTTTTAATGATCTTGACTAAAATTATGTGATGAGTATTGGTTTTCTAGTTTGTAATAAAATTAAGTGACCAACACAAATGATTTAGAGTTTGTAATATTTTTTTGATCAAAGAGTTTTGTAATACAAACTAAGTGAATCAATAGTTTATGATTTTTAACTGTAATTTCCATTACAATTACTGCAGAATTAAATTAATTTCAATCAACTTATAATTAATAATCTAATAAAGGGGATGTAACAAAAATAATATTTCTTACTTGATAAGTAATAAATTAATGTGTGTCTATATATGTGCGTAGGTTTGTGATTTATGAAAGTTTCTTAAAAGCAAATATAACTAACCACACCAAATATGTAAAATAGACTATAATTATATCCCATGTGTTTGTTTGTTATTGTCTATTATCGTAGCTAATCAGCCAAGACTTGCTTGTCAAACTAATTAAATGGTGTATATAATCAAACGGAGAAACTTGAAAGTTAGGTTCCAATTTAAAAAGTTTGATATTTTTGGTCGCCAATTATGAAAGTTTAACAGATTATAATTATAAGATGTAGCTTACGAACGATATTTTGATTTTGGCTTTGAAGATCAAGTTTTTCTACTTCAAGCATGCATATATAGTTTTGTTTCCTATATCCTCTTTTCCCTCCCCAGAGCTTCATAAGAAGTTCATAATAATTAAGACTTGTAAAATCAGATGCTGAGTTAAACAAAGCAAGAGGGTTAAGATTAATTTACTTTAGAGGGGATAAGCCCCATAACAGACAGAGAGTCCGTACTTGTTTCAGCTCACGTGCCTCTCTCACTTTGAAACCCAGAATTTCATTCATTCAAAAGTGAGAGCCCGGAAATTTGACAGAGATAAGATAATTGGAGTGACATGATAACATACAATAATATAGAGTGAATAAACAGTAAGCAAAGAAAAGAACATGCATATAGTAGAGATGAAGTAAGCACATACTTGAACAAAGCAGTCATGGAAGTGAAGCCTGATGAGACTGGCTCCGATACGAGGATCGCTTTGCGAAGCATTCTGGATAACCCCAGACACGATGTCGGTGACGTTAGGGCATGTTTCGTCGTAGAATGTTGGGCTGAGCTGTGCATGAGTCACCGATATTGCTGCCAGAACCACAAATATGGTACCCCAAACAGCTCCCATTCTCACACCCACAGAACCCAATCCTCTCTTGTCTCTCCGTCTATGAATATATCCCAAGGCTGTGTTTCCTGATCCTTATTCTGGACCTTTTGTAGACTGGCAAAATGGAGTTACAGTGCCAAATCATGGTTTACGAGAAATTAAATCGTTCTCATTTGCCTGAATTAATTAGTGTACTGTGGTCCCAAACGAAAAGTCCTGTGATAATTGTTGCCAGAATGAAAAAGAAAAGTCAATTGTAAATAGTTGATTGAGACAATGATGAGACTGGAATTCTTTGCCAATGCATGTGACTTTTCCTTTTCCTTTTCCTTTTATTTGCCAAGGGTCCGCAGTGCTGCATAATGGTCTCTGTCTGGGATTTTAAGCAATTAATGTACGATACGATGTGCAACTAATTCCACCTTAGTGTGATGAGAGAGCAGGGTCAATAATTCTAAATGCAGATTGAGGAATTATTACGGCAAAAGAGTGTGAGTAAATTGGTTGAGCTGGACAAGGAAATCACAACTTATAATTAATTCAAAATAATGGGAGAAAACAAATTGGCTAAGAAATTCAAAATCAGTTATATATTAATTTAAAATCTCAAAATTCAAGCGATGGAAATGACATTGTTACTGCAACAACTAGACGTTTACCTTGTATCTAAGGTGACACGAAAAGGAAAAGACACGCGCATTCGCAAAGAATTAGAAAGTCTAATTGTCTCAATCAACTCTTCGGCCAAAAAAAAAAAATTGCCTCAATCAACTATTTTTAATGGATTTTTCTTTATCATTTGGCGAAATAAAATTAACCAGGGCTTTTTTCTCAACCCACGTTGGCAGATGAGAATGAATTAGTGTACATTTAGTTTTCAATTTATTAAAAATTTATTTGATAAATTTTTTTAATAAAAGTCAATTTAATGAAAGTCAATTGTTGTAATAAAATTTATATTTGGATATATTTTTTTAAAATTAATTTGATACACTAAAAATTATTTGGCTTGTAATAGTAAAATGTGCTTTTGAATGTACAATTTTTAAAAAGGACATTAATTTATGATGATTTATAATTTTTATTATACAAATATAATATATTTAAAATATTTAAAAAATGTGATAAAGATTTTAAATAACATAAATTTTGATCTATAATACTAAAAATTTGATCTCTAGTTATTTATATTTTTTAAATTTATAATTTTAGAAAATGTGATAAAGATTTATAATTTTTATTATACATTAATGTTATTAACATGATTAATTATTCAATTTATAATGCTAAAAAATTGATACCTAATTATTATTATTGAAATAATAATTATATTTTTAATAAATTAATTATTTTTTAAATAAAAGAATAAAAGATTAAACTTGGGGTAGTATGGTCAAATAACATTCTACTTTTTAAAAATTTTAAATAGTTACGTTTTATAAATTCACTTACAACTACTATTTAAATGTACTTTTAAAATGTGTTTTCTTACAAAATATTTTACCCAAACAACTTTTAACCTCTTGAAAGTAAAATTTTACTTTTTTAATGTAAAACGGAAGAAAACCAAACGGACCCTTAATTTGTTATGGAAAAACACTCTTATGTGTCCTTATAGTTTACCCTAATTTTTAATGAGGCACCCCCTTGTTTTAATCATCTTAATTGAGCCCTTATACTTTCAAACATTACGCTGGTTAATCTCTCCCCACTAACCCCGTTTTAAAATTACTAATATGGCTAACTGTGGATGATATGGCTAACACACAAGCATCCAAGTGGATTAAAATGGCTGACACGGTGTACTGAGAAGGAGAGCAACGTCTTTTGGTTCATTGAAGGAGGAAGACTTTGCACTCTGCCGCCGTTGGTTATCCTCCTTCATTCCTGCAGATTCATGTATTCCAGTGTAGCTTCCTCTTTAGTTCATGATATCGAATTCCAATTCCCTTGAAAAGCTGAAGTTGGAGCTTCACAATTCTAGAAAACGAACTTGGCTCTCTTTGAAAACGACCCAAATTAGATTCTTCTCCCAAGGTTTGAATTCTCCTCACTTTTACTTTCGATTATATCAAATTTTGAACCCAAAATTCGAGTTTTAGTTCTATTTCTTTGTAACTCACCATTTTCTTAATATCGCCAGGTTGTTATTATCTGTAAGATTTCAAGTTGGTTTATACTGGTTGAAGTGTGATTTGATTCCTCTCCATCGCCATCTCTTTTCATCACCCCACTCCTGCCCCCATCCCCACTTCAGCCTTCATCCCCTTCCCCAGCTTCCCTCCTCCAATTCCTCTCGCCTCATTCCTCTTCTTCTTCTCTCTCTCCATTTCAATCCCTAGACCATGTTCTGATCCTTGTTATTTCTGTTCAATAGTCCACCGAATATCATCACCTGGTTAGACTTCTATCATGTTATGATTGCAATGGTGCCTCTTTACATGGATATTGGCCTACGGCGCTCTGTGAAGTGGTGGAAGATCTTCTCGCATAATCAATGCTCTAGTATCAATGCTGTCGTTGCCTTGTTTGCAGTCCCTCTCCTCTCTTTCCAATTCATGGCCTCCAACAATCCCTATTATGAGATGAACTTTTGCTTCATCGCCACCGATAATCTTCAAAAGGTCATCTTTCTGATCATTCTCATTATTTGGACCAACGTGAGCAAAAGGAGCTACTTGGAATGGACTGTAACACTGTCAATACCCTTCATGAGCTGAACCATGCATGAAGCTGCGCTGGAATACATGAATCATGAATGAAGACAACCAATGGCAGTAGAGCGCAGAGTCTTCCTCCTTCGATGAAATAGATGACATGCTCTCCCTCTCAGTCCATCATGTTAGCCATTTAATCCACCTGGATGCTTGCACGTTAGCCACATCATCCACATTTAGCCATATCAGCAATTTCTAAACGGTGTTAGTGAGGAGGGATTAACGGGTCCAATGTTTGAAAGTATAAGGGCCTAATTAAAATTATTAAAATTACAGGGGTCTAATTAAACATTAGTGTAAATTGTAATTAAGGATCCGGACATGCGGGGGTGTTTTCCCATTCGTTTTTCACCATCATTTGGCACTCCAACCCCTTTTTGTCAGAGGCCACTGATAATAAAGATCATGATTTTCATTGAAATTTATATAATTTGAGGTTTGAAATTGTAATTTCCATCCTCGTGATCCTTGTTTGATCATGTCAAGAATGAGGACAAGAGAGTATGTAGAAGGAACAAGAGCGTGTCGTGTTGAAGAGTCAAACAGGGTGGGCTCGGACTTTGGAGAACCATTACATCAACTTATATCAACGATGGCCTGAGCCTGGGGCCCACAATCAGAGCCATTCCTTACTCGCCTTATCTCCGACTCCGACACTTCTCAATTCTCTCCTCTCGTTTTTTATCTTTGCATCTTTCGTCCGTGCAGCATTGTCCGCATTCACATTAAAAAATGGAAATACATATATATATATATATATACACATACATATATAATTATATAATTGAGAGACGCTTAGGCTACGTTTGGAAGCATCCGGATCTTAATTTGGATTCAGCCAAATCACCCATTTGCCTACAAAGAACAGTAGAACACAATATATTTAAATTCTAATCAAATCCAAATTCATGTTTTTTTTGACTTGTTTATAATTTTAAATTCTTTCTAAATTCAGTTATTTGAAATTTTAACTATTTTATTCATCTTACTTTTTTCATATTTTCATTATTAATACCTTTATTATTCTTGTCTCTTCTCTCATTTCTTATCAATTAAAAAATAAAAGTTAGCTTGTTACCTTCAATTTTAACTCAAACTATCATAACTTAAGTTTATAAATATTTTTTACTTTTGTTCATGCCAATGATAATATTTTAAAAAAAAATTGCTCCATTTACAAAATTATTTATAATTTCTAAGTAGACAATTTTTTTTTCTAAAAAAGTGACTTGTAAAAATAAAATAAAGGAAATGTTTGTAAGGGATAAGACAGATGAATGAAAGGGTTGAAAGTCGGTGCGTGGTTACTGTGCCAACGGGACAACTGTAAAATTCTCGAAAAGCCTCAGCATAAAGATGTGAAACGCAAAGATGCTTTATTGTTCCCAGGCACTCGATAATTTAGTAGTTGGTGGAATCTGAGAAATACGAGGTGTTGATTGAGATCACAATATCTAAGTTCCCAACTGCTCCCACGCGGCTCCTGTCAGGCCTTGTGGACAAATATTACGTGGGAAAATATGGAGTAATCACAATGCGATACAAAATAGAAAGTCCACGTCCACTATCGCTGAATGTGACGTGGACCGTTTAAGTGATGAGCACGGATCACCCTGAGATTAGGACCGAAACCGAATCCTCCTTTATAGAAGCATCTCACACTATTATGTCTTGCTAAGGGTTTATATGCCCACCATGTCTTGTTCGTTTCATATTCACTAACCTGTGACATTGTGCGTAAATTAATTGCATTTTATAAACCTTTTGTAAATTTTTTTTTAACGAGCAAGTCACTAATATTATAAAAAAAAGGAGCAAGTCACTAATATTATTTTTTTTTTAAAAAAAGACATGGTCCAATTGTGCATCCGGTCAACTTTACAAGCTTCACTATTGACTTTCTTATTCCCCTCATCTCAAATTATAAGATAATCTCAAAGGAACTTTATTGTCTCAAAATATTAGATAATTTGATAAGAATAAGATTTTATTAATGATATTTTTTAATATTATCTTCAAGTAATAAAAGAATTGAAATGATTATAAATTTTATAAAATGGTATTTTTTTTAAAGTTCCTATTTTTATTTTAAAAAATGAATTTATAAAGTGTCATTATTAAGCTTTATTTTTATATTTAATCTTGTTTGAGATTGTCCTATAATTTGAGAGGGAAAAAGTATTATTTAATCTACTACTAGAAAAATATAAATTAGTGAGGAATTGTCTATTCCTTTCTAAAATATCAAATTAGTTAGGGATGTTAATTTTATAATGCGACTTAAAATTAGCAAAAAAATAGTTGGTAACTATCAATCTCTCACTAAAATAAAATAATTAGAGAGAAAAATAATGAGAAACTATCAATTCCTTTATAAAATAAGATAATTAGTAAA